GTGAAGCGGTTCTGCAAGGGCACCTCAGGCTTCGGGGGAAGTCTCTTCCTCCTGCTGACCCTTGCCTTTGCAACCGTACATTCTTCTGCATTTTTGGCCCCCCTGCTCCCTTCTGCGTGTGCCAGTGGGGGAGTTTTTGGCTGTTTGGCCGTGGGCTGCGGGTCTGCTGCAGACTGCGCTTGGAACCAGCTATCTAGCTCCTTCTCTGCCTTCCTGATGTTACGCAGTCTTGATTGAGGAAGCTCATCAGATATGGTACAGTGACACAAGGCATCTGAACTGCTTGTTCTGGTCACAAACTGGAGCTTCTCTCAGAGCCCATGGATATATCTGTCTACTGCACAACTGGCAGAAAACATTGGGATGGTCCTCTAAGTGCTCTACTAAAAAAATAAAACAAACCACATTTCAGTTCTGAATACTTCTTTTACCCCTTCTGCAGGCATGACTGGAAGGAGCCATGTGAGGTAAGTTAATGAGGGCAGTTACAGTTAATCTTGGGCCAATATGTTCTTAAGAGGAGAAACACCACCTCTGTTGTAAATTTATGAATGTGCAAACACTGGACTCTATCCTGCCAGGTCTCAAGGTGACAAAGGCAGCATTAATCATTACCTAGGCTTCAGCACATGGGAATAGTCACATGAAAGTCAATCCCCATTCATAAATCTTCACTGTAAGAATACGTAATACACTTTCAGATGTATTTTTTTTTCATGCATAAATCTAACATGCTTAATTTTTGTATGTGGTAAATCTGGTGCAGAAATCCATGAAGGTTCCTACACAGTGATCTCTAATCATACTGTGATATCCCTTACAGAGTCTGTCAGTAATGACAAAGAATGCATCTGTCCTGGTTTCAGCTGGGGTAGAGTTAATTTTCTTCCTAGCAGCTGGTACAGTGCTGTGTTTTGGATTTAGTGTGAGAATAATGTTGATAACACACCGATGTTTTAGTTGTTGCTAAGTAGTGCTTACGCTAGTCAAGGACTTTTCAGCTTCTCATGCCCTGGCAGTGAGAAGCTGGGAGGGGGCACAGCCAGGACAGCTGACCCAAACTGGCCAAAGGGCTGTTCCATACCATATGACGTCATGCTCAGTACATAAACTGGGGGGAGTTGTCTGGGGGGCGGTGACCGCTGCTCGGGAACTGGCTGGGCATTGGTCAGCGGGTGGTGAGCAATTGCATTGTGCATCACTTATTTTGTATATTCTTTCATCATCATCATCATCATCATCATCATCATTTATTTTCCCTTCCTTTTCTGTCCTATTCAACTGTCTTTATCTCAACCCACAAATTTTACTTTTTTTTTCCGATTCTTTTCCCCATCCCACTGTGGGGGGGAGTGAGCGAACAGCTGTGTGGTGCTTAGCTGCCTGCCGGCTTAAACCACAACGTCATTTACATTTTTTAAGGTGAAACAATGCATAATAATGTAAGGATGTTTCTAAGTCTGCATACAGTGTCTGATTTACTTTTATCCTTCCAAAAAGAACTATCTGTGACTTGAAAAGAAACCAAGTATTTTTTAGGGCAGAGAAATGTTCTACTGCTGCAAGTATTCAGGCATGGATTTTAGGATAAATGTAGTGTCTAAATGTTGATCAGGATTGATACCATCATATTAGTATTGCTTCAAAAATAACTCTAAGAAGTCTTATGAGTATAATATAGATATTCCTGTACATCACCATCACTGCCCATATAAAATGAAAAAAAAAAAGCCAACCCAAGCCCTCAAAATTCCGAGACACTGTGTGAATTTTTCATGCAATGCGAGAGCACCTGGTGCTCTACTAGAGGCAGGAGATATTTCCACGACAGCAGTGAAACAGAATAATTACCTAGTTCTGTTGGATGCACCTTGTTTTTTCCCCAGTGGATCTTAAATTTCCACAGACTATGCTTTTTGTTAGGCTGTGGTCTTTAACCTTTGTGGTAGATCTCTACATCTGTGGAGAACCCTTCAAAGGCCGTATTCCCTGGGCTCACCAAATGTGTAAAGCTCCCCAGACCTATAACTCATCACTTCAGTGCTTTATTTACCAATAACTGCTCATGAACCAATACTAAAAAACATGAATTGATGGTGCTTTCCAACAGTGCCAGCAGTACAGGGAACATGAATGTGGCCTTGGACACAAGTCCTTAATTAAAATTTGTTTCTTAGGCTTACTGGCTTAGGCAGCCCAATGAATGGAGCAATGAAAAACAGAAGAGAGAAGGAC